TTCCAAATCGGTATATAAATGACAGAGTTATGAGGTAACAAATACTAGAAAATACAACCGAATTGATACAACCTCCAACTTTTTGATCGTCAATTGAAAATTCTTCCAAAGTGGCCTAATTAGATAAATGGATGTTTACTTACCAATAGGCGACCATGAAATCAAGTTTTTATATAATTTGTTAACTTGTTACTTGGAATAACAATAATTTACTTATTACTATTAATACTTATTATTAACAAATTTTTAAATTTTCTTTGTCTCCGCTAAATCACACATTCAAAGCTTGACTCGAAAGAAATCTCTTATATATGACAAATTAACCATTGTGCTTACTTTTTATTAAGATTTTTTATTATCATTTAAGATTTTACTGTACAATAAATTAATGCAAACATAGTGCTTTATTATCAAACATAACGTTCTATAGGTTAGTTTGTTTGCATTTTAAAATAGCAATAAAAAAGTGAATCTTTGTCTTTTTAAAATCGAGTAGCCTGATTCATCGTTATGTTATGATACGACTAACAAGTATACAGTGTAAACAACAATATGTTCGCATAATGGTATAGTCGGTACAGCGAACGACAGCAAATTGTCAACGTGTCCGCCGCCTACGTTATGTCGTCGAGATTTATGCGTTCGGTGCGCGGACGCACAAATTGGCGGACACAGACGGATATGTTTTCCACATTTCATTTACTTGCTTATGCATAACGAGCCCCATTTTATATACATAATTTTTTCAGCAAAAACTAACCTCGCCGCATAACTTTTTTCTTTGCGCACAGGACAGTAGCGAAGCGAGTATCGCATAGTATTGATATAAGCATTTATCAAAATTTGAAGTCTTTATCAGTGTCTCAATTTTATTAAAAAAAAACTATTACTTTTAAGTAACCTCAAAAAAGAGAAAGTATTAAATTTGCCTGTAGCTTTTTGACTACATCGTGATAATTAATCAAAATTAAAATTGAGTTTGATCTTTATATTTCTTTTTATAATCTATTCTTTTTGTAATTTTTACTCTCGTGACTGGCCGCCATTCTTACTATCTTCGAAATATAAACAATTCAATTTACAGAACGATATTTATCATGTATTTGGAACATCTACATCTCTGAATCTACTACATTACGCCAAAAAACAATCGCTGATCCCTAATCGAGTTAGTCGATGATACAATCATTCTTACCTTATGCATGTTCTTACCTTATACATCTTTATACAATAATACAGATTCACAATTAAATAAATTATATTAATAAATAAATACTATTGAACATTACATAGCATTCTAGTCCCAAACTAAGATCTTATGTCGGATAAAATACTTAAAAAAAAGACATACATATCATTATACATAGAAAACACCCAGAGCAATACAAATACTGCTCATGTCTATAGGCGACGGTTACCACTTTCCATTAGGTGGGCCGTCAGATTGTTTGCCATTCTAAGTTGCATAAAAAAATAGACAGAGGGTAGAATTACCAGTAATAAAGAGATTGGCCTAAATTGATAGTAATATACCGCATCAGATCAACCCTCACGCGGTCCCCTCAGGAAACTATCGCAGTTCACCTCTAATGAATTCGCCACGATTGGCTAACTAACCTGACTTTATCCTCAGCGTTTCATTCTTCACCGTTACAATAGAAGGGTGCATAATTCCATCGTCATCCTTTAAAAAAAATATAAACAGACATACACTTGAATACAAATCTTTATATTGTACGAGGATCAAACCTGCACCCATCGGATGATAAGGCAATTTAACCGCTCCACCACCAAGGTCTTTATTAGTGACATAATGGTTATCAAATAAGCTTTTAACTTGCAACTAAGACCTATAAATCACAGTCCGAGGTCTAGTTCATTAATGCAGAACGTGTAAACATCAAGATTTTATCCGTTCGCCCTTTGATCCGGGCTTCGCAGGTATCTACTCTTTCCATAATGCGAATGTTAAAAGCGATTTGTCGCCGTCCAACACATATCTAAACTTTGATGTACTATCGCCGTTAAAAGTGCTTTGTAGGCACATATGTGATTTTTCTCCTATTATAATTAACTAGTTTTAAAATGTCTGTTAAGTTTAGTGCTAATTCCCTGTGTTCTCTCTTCTTTTTCCTCCGTCACTTTCTCCTGTTGTATGTGTGGTAGATATGTTTGTATATATTAATATCTACACTAATATCTATTACTATGTAGCATTATTAGTGCGCCACCTACCCTTTGTCTTTTTCTCAATGTCCTCTACCCAAAAATTGTCTAGAAAGAGATTATTTAGTGATAAGGTCACTTTTTGTATCACTTCTTAATAATATTTACTGTATTTATTTTTACTTGGTGCAATAAAGTGTAAAGTTACGTGCACATTCCTAATCCTTAAGAAGCCTTATTACGTCATTTTTGAAGAACCCCGTACTGTAGTTTGTAGAGAAACCTCGGCAAGGACATTACTCTTGTTTGCGGCGTGAATCTCCTTAGTTATCATACTGTGCGTGATCATTTATTCACATATTATAAAGATACTTAATATCAGTGATATTAATAAAGATATATATTTATCTATTGTCTGAGTCTAACATAAATATAAAAAATAAATGCGCACGTGTTTACGTTCGTGCAAGCTCGAAATCGCTTAATCTATATTTTGATTGCATTTAGACTATGATAATAGTTTAGAATGGCCTTTGACCCATCACATGTTTTTTGGTTTTATTACACACGTTTATTGACACGATGCTAAACATTAAAAAGAATGACTTTTACGCATGCAAAGAGAATATTAAAATAAAACTATAGAAACACAGCCTTTGTAAGTGTTAAAAAAAATTGAGACTAAATTAATTTTGCCTTGCGTGTATCTCAAGAGATATCTAGAGAAAATTATTTATGTAATGAAATATAATATCGTATTATTTTTCCTTGATAAACCTAGCCTGCTGTAGGGAATTATAAAGAAAAATATAAGAGATCCTGCTTTTGCACTATGATATTTATGTGTAACTTAATACAATGTAGGTATATAAGTAATAGTGTACTATATAAGTAGACACTTAAAAGTGTAAGTTTTTAAATATCTACTTATATTACTTACGTTTTTGAAAACTTACACACTTTAATACGTAGAGTCCAAAATATGTCATATTTAAAAAATTAACAATATTCAATATATTTGATTGACTCCATAAAATACTCCTGCAGCAAACTAAAGATAAATCCTACAATTATATTCCTATAAACATTCAAAATTTTGGATTTCGATGGTAAATAAAGTTGAAAATTTTAAAAGCAAAATTTGAAGTACTTATTAATTTAATGCCAGATTTATGTACTTTATAATTAAAAATTTTGTTCGCTAACAGCGCATGCTTTAAATAATTATTCGAAAATATTGAAATTGCTTTATTATTAAAAAAATTAACAGATAATGCCAACGTACACACTTGTACATAAGTAGGTAGGTACTACCTACTTTTTTAAAACTTTCTCTAGATCTATTATGGATCAAAATCTTACAGATAAACAGTGCAAAGGTCTTAGCACTTTTCCCGCCGTCTGTACGTTCAAAGTCTAAGAATAAGTCCAACTATGTGACATTTCCCCGCATTCACTATCTAAAGGTTGCTGCAAACCCCAGCTTCGCGCGAAAGGTTACACAGAGTACAAATTTAATACAACCCACCTACTTAGGTTACTTACATACTGTTGATAATCTTACTTAAATGCAACTTTGTCTATCCGCTTGAACTATTCATGAGTTTCGTGGAAACTTAGATGTATGTGTATTATGTTAGCCCGTACCATAGATAAAAAAAGTTTATAGACAAAATAATAATGAAATGTTAGTAGAATTTGCATCTAATGGATTCTATATGATCGTAAATTTAAAATAATATATCAAATACACCTTTTTTGAATTCTATGAATAAACTACGATCAGTTGTCAGATAGATAGCTATATAAGTAATTATATAAAGTTGCATAAAAAAATCTTTTTTAAAAGATAGCTTCCCGTAATAAACCGCCTTATTGTGTTTATACAAGTATATATACGAATATATATACAATATACATACAAGTATATTGTATGTGTATTTATATTCTTTATGTAGTAATGCAAATGCAGTTCATTCATCCATTTCAACATATGAACCGTAAATTTGTTTGCTATTTTAAGTTGTATAATTGTTTTTAATTATCTCCTTTAATTTGAATTCTCAAGAAATCCAATAGGCTTTAATAAACGATCACAAAATTAAAAAAAAAAACCTAATGTATTAAAGTTTAACGTAAGAATGAATTTCATAGTGAGAATGTGTAATTACTATTAAGCGTAACAATAAAATACAATTTACATAAACATTAAACTTTAGTAGAGTGTCCATTCTATTAATGGGCAAAGCATGTAACAATCGTATCGGATGATGGCAATCTGGAATTCTTCTCTGTACCAAATACTCCAATAATATTTATTTTAATTAATACTAGCTATGTCCATGACTTCGTCTGTGTAGTAGTCTTAATAAAAAAAATATGACAACTATCGAATAATAAAAAAGTATGTATATGTTGATCCATTATTTTTACTGATGAAGGGTCCCGCGATTGAACACGTTCTCACCTATTGGAAAGGGATGTGGTCTAAGATGGAGCTCGCGGCCACATGAATAGGTTATTCACATTTGCCTTAAATCGATCTAGATTGTATGTGACTAAAAAAGTACAATATAAGTAGGAAAAGAGTTTTTTTTTTTTTGTGTACTAAATTTTATTTAAATCTATTTAGCCGTTTAAGCATGTTCGAGTTACAAATATCTATATTTTTACGTTTATAAATACTACTAGTGACTGCAACATATTAGTTGAAGTTTGATGTATATATAGTATTTGGGATAGAAGGCATAGGCTCCTTTTTATCCTGTTTAATCATATGCCCTGGACATAGCTAATCTGTTATAAAATGCTAAAAAGATCCATTTTGTTAACAGTGAACAAGAAGCAACCGTTATGAAAGCCAACCCTTGGCTCTACCACTACTACGCCGTGCAGTCCAAACTGCATTATGGTTTGGCCTATGAAGCTGCTACAAGAATGTATGGCCCTCCACCCCCTGACATCCAGGTCTACCCTCCGACCATGCAATATACTCCAACACCTCCCGTCTGCATCAACGGAAACCAGCCCGTCATGATGCCCAATCCTGGACTCCAGCCGCATATACCCCACGTTCCACATTTGACACCTATGCACTACGCATATGAAAGGCCGGAAAATGGACCTGTGGATTACTCTGTGTCGCTACAGGATAATAGGTAAGATGTTTGGTAAAATAATTAACTCTATAATTATACAAATAAATATTTTCTTTTTTATACCACTGAGATGGCAAACAAGCATACGGCATATATATTAAATGCTATTCATTGGCAAGTGCATAATTTAAGAACGTCGGCACTGATTTCGATATTTTATTGTTTAAGATTTTTAGAGAAAAAGGACAAATTCGAATTTTATGAGGAAACTATTTGTTGGGTCACAATGAGGAATGATAGATAGGGATGTAGGCAGGTCAATTGGATGACCAAGTCCTAACAGGCTAGCAATGGATATCATAGTTCACGTTACAAACAAGGATTATCATCTTACATTTTCCTCCATTTACAAAATTTGCATACAAGAAACGCCACATGTTTAACATTAGATTTTATTTCCAGGTACCACACTATTCGAATAGAAGATACGAGGATCCAGCCTAATGCGAAACGGAAAGCAAAAAGTCCTGACGATAAACCAGACACACCCATATCCAATATGTCTCCTCGATGCACCCCCTCCACGGTAACATCTGGAGACACGTTAGTTGCAGTATCAACAGGATCCATAGCGAGTAGAAGACCTGGCTCCAAAAATTTTAATATAACAGAACCAGAAATGGTCGATCAGTGGAATCCTAGTCCAACGTGGTCAGAATCTGCTCTGCAGAAAGTACCAGATGTGTGTCACCAAGACCTAAGTCCATATGTAACAACCACGCCCCCTACGCCGTCTGGTACTCCTACAGCGTACGCTCATAACTATAGTCATACTTTTGTGTTCGACTGGTCACCTGAGCAATATGTTCCTCATACTAACAATAGATGTAACACTGTAACGACAGAAAGTTCCTATCAGCAATGGAATAGAAGTCAAAGAACATTCGCGAACGCCGAGAGCTCAATAGATGAGAATTGCAATCCTAATAGAATAAGCTTACCACTGAGGGCCAGTAATCCACCGCCAGCGTATAACGCAAACCGGGAGGGGGATATTCTTAGAAGGCAAATTGGTAAGTTCACAAAACACTCGTAATAATTAGATATTTATCCTTTTTGTATTAAGTATCTAAAATTCATTCAACTTTCGCATACAGAGTCAGGCACATAGACTAGATAGAGACTGGAATGATCAATCGTTTTTAGTACGTAGATGTCTACTCGTATTGTATACCTGTAGTATAGTGATTATATCAACAGAACTATAGCCTAACTATAACCTGTATTTGTCAAAAGCTTTGAATTCTTCTACAACAATAATTGTAGGTATGGATGTCCTTAATTAATTTTATTATTGATAAACTTATTAAAATATTAATCCATATGCAACCGATTTTTACTCGTATCAAGAAAAGGATCATAAGATTTGGTCCTTCGACCCGGATATTTTACATCAAAAGATACACACGACAAAAATTGTTGTGATTAAAAAGTCGACATTTGTTTATTATTAATTAAAAAATAAATTTAAGTATTGTTATCTAATAACATTTTTCTTTGTTCTATCTAGATCGTCCACATCCAGATTCACCGGACGCGAAAAAGCCCGCATTATAACTATAACATAATTATCTATAATTTCATTTTAAATAGTTGAATATAATAATTTGTTACCCTACTTTAATAAATTTTATGTAAGTACTTAATGTAGAAAAAGCTCTGGAACTCTCCTGTGATCTTCGTGTCTATAAGTTTTTGTAAAATAGGTAGGTAGATTGTATATTTTTACTTTTTATAAACGATGTAATATGTACAAATTGTTTGCGTTTAGTTTACTTATCTAGTTATTTGTCACATGCAATGTGATTTATGTATACGAAAATAAAAGAATAATGTAAATAAAGTTGAAAATTTACAGCCAGATAATTTTATTTTCACACAATTTTATTATCTTAATTGACCTTCGTGCACCGTAATATTTTCTAAAAAGCCATTTAAAAACCGGCCTATTTCAAACCCTTATTAGCGGATAGAAGGTTCTGTAAATAAATAGATTTTTATTTAAATAGTTGAACCAAAACTTTTTGTGAACACAAACATCATCTAGTGAAAGAAATATAGTCATTCAGTTAATTACTTCATTTGATTAACTTTCCTGGTTAAAATGTGCATATGTGGTATCAGTTTCAATTCTTTCAGATTTATTGGCTCACAAACTCAAAAATTTTTTGCTAATACGATACGGAACCTTAAAATCTCGTATACTAAGTGCAATATTAGGTATTTTGAAAAATCACTTTTTCAACTATATTTCATTATACATATACTATAATGTACAATACTTTGTGTTCCTGTTCTGTAATTTAATGGTAAACTATTTTGAACATTCCTAGATACACGTGTATATGCCTAATTTACTTGATATTTTGTTATATGTAAGAGTTAATTGATACCCGAACGAAAAGTTTCCTTTCAAGATATACCTGGTATATCTGTCTAAGCTAACTAAATCATTCTAAGTATGCGAGGTAGGTAGGAAACTGATAAACCAGTATAAAGTTCTGAGTGATTAGTGCGTTGAAAAAAGAATTATATTGCGATTGCATTCACCTTTACTTCGACCAATTTGAATGGAAATTTTAGTATACCAAACCATCAGTTACAAGTGCTGCTTAATATTTAATATTAATAATTTATCGACGCAAACATACACTAGCCACTCAGAATGATAGAGCAGAGAAGAATAGAACATTTAATATTAGATAATTAAAAATCGTAAATCAAGAAATAAATACTCTTTTTTCTATGTCTACAGTAGTCACATCATGAGCTCCTAAATATTTTTGTTAACTAATTAACATTTTCGTTTTATTATTCTCTTTGTATATCCCTCAGATCTTACCTCTTACGATGTGTAGTTCTTAGTCATGTATTCTTGTCCTGTAGATATTTGCCTCTGCTTTGCTCTACTGCGTGGAATCATTAAGGTATTCGTCCACTATTTTACAAACAAAAAAAAAACAAGATATAGAATCAGACATTAAGGACAACACTAAAAATATTTGCACTGGTCTATCAACGACTACCTTAGCGTACCTTTGATAATAATACCTACTCATACATAATACATAATGATATGAATTATCATCTCTGTCTACCTTGCGGTTGTTATAACAAGTATTATTAGCTAAGAACTCGTATTCCGTCCATTGTTAGATATATTTTTTATAATTACAAAATATCTGCTTCAGTAGAAACTAGATTGGATTTATTTTTGTACAAAATAATGTATTATAAAAAGCAGGTTTTCATAAATAATTTATGTTCGATTATTTGTTGATTGAATTAAAAAATAAAGCTATTATGATGACGTTTATTTTTCATTTACTTACCTATCTATTATCTATAAGAACTCTTTTACTTAGACACTACTTACTCCGCTTGTTCTTTGTGAACAGGGCGGAATCATTGTTGCCTTTTAAAATGAACTTTACAAGTTCAACAATAACAGTCGAAAAACACTACAAATGTCGTTATCGAAACTTATGCATGAGTTCAATTCTTCCTCGGATATAAAAAATACTTATTATGCAGTTTAGATGGCAAACAAGCTGACGATCTACTTGTTAGAAAGTACGAACCGTCGGTGTTATGCATCTGTACCCAGTAATTTCATTGCTCTTCAAAACGAAACACAGCCATGCAAGCACCACTGCTTCACAAAAGGAATACGAATGGGGGCCAGTAATATACTATAAACAACATACTATTCTGTAATGCTATAGTGCAATTCATGTCTGTAGAAGACAGGTAGACCATCCGTAATTTGGAGCATTGGTGCGGAGTGACAAGTTATGAAATCCCTTTTACATAGTACGTTATACTAAGCCTATGTGAAATCCATAGAAAAAAAAAAACTTAAACGTAACTAATTACTACGAAATCAAATTATTTAATCCTGAAAAAATATTATTTCAAAATCTCATTCAGTATATTTAAATTGAAAACACTGTCATCCACACTATGGCACAACGCGCAGAATAATTATTTCAAAAAAGACGTTTAATCCTTCTTTGCATAATGGTGGAAATTTCCATCATAACATTGAATGCCCAAAAATTATATAAAAGATCAATTTCACTTTAATTTGATCGTGTCTGGATACTTTTTTAATGTCCATTGCAGAAAAAAACAGCTGTAAATTTTTTTTTTTAACAATTTTTCTTTTTATCTTGAACATGAATTATATCACCTTGATTTATTTCACCAATAACATTTTTTTTTTTATTATACAACTTAGAATGGCAAACAAGCTGACGGCCCACCTGATGGAAAGTGGTATCCGTCGCCTATAGACATGAGCAATACCATAGACATAACAGAGTATACTGTTTCGCCCACGATACACCCTATGCGTTGCCATTCTTGAGGACTCAGGTATTATTCCTCTGTACCCAGTAAATGCATGCAAAGAAGGGTTAAGGAATATATGTTCAGACATCCAACGATTTCTTCGATAATTTCTGGGTTAATTTTTATATACTATATACAACATTGATAATGAATATTAATAACAATAATTTTCAAAAAGATAAACATAAATACTAAGGCATAAATGAAACTAGTATGTTATTTAATATAAATATATAATTAATCTTAATGACAATTATTATCAATTTATTTTCTACTCATGGGTATACATTTAAACTCTTAGACATCAATTATAATTTCATTTATTATAACAAAAAATAAAAGGTAAAAATTTATTGAAACAGATTTAGATAGCAAATCTGAAAGAATTGAGTTAAAATAATGACAGTCTAAGGAGCTTGCATAGTAAACAAATTATTATACTTATAATTTATTAATAACTACTAAAATGGACAATAATTTGTCACGATTTTCTGTAAAAGCAATTAACAACCCATTCCATATATTTTAATCAGGTCTCAAACGCATATTTCTCAAAAGACAGAGATCTCTTGCGGTATCTTTTCTTCCATAAGGGGTCGACAAATCATACAATCTCAAAATCAAGCTTATATTAAAACTATCGGGAAGAGCTTTTATTAATGTAGGAACTAGTTCACTGGGCATTTTCTGCAAAACCAAATGGGCTCTTTCATGTCCACATTGGACAACATACGACATAAATTGGAGTATAAAGTGAGTCTGTGGTGATACATCTCCATTCTTCCCGGCCAATTGGGAGAATGACATATACAGTGTCTCTAGAGCTGACTGTAGAGGTTCTTTTAAAGTTATTCCAGACATAGATTGCCCCTGTGAATAGAACCCGCCACTACTATCTGATGTATTGTCATTCATTCTTCTTACTTTATTTGTTGAACTCATCTGATCCATATCCTCAGATTCGTCATGACGGCGTTTCCTAGAACTTTGACTTTTATTTGAGTTGCTATATTCTAGAGCAGCATAAACACAATATACTGATAACTTGGCCAATACAGCAGACTGTGGTTCAACTAACTCCTCAGATAATTTGGCATTGTACAAATACTGAGGTAGCACATGCAACAACAAAGCTTCAGTACATTTTTCTATATCTAAATGTAAAATAGCAAACACAATGTCTACAGACCTGTCAAGGTCATCTTGATATCTATATTTAAGAGTTTCTTTCACTAAATGTGTTACAAACCATATTGGTCCAGTGGTATTTAGAAGACTCTCAGCAATGTGTGTTGCATTAATATGGAGATATCCTCTAGATTTAATATCCTCCCAAACAGTTTGTAACTGCTCCAAGATTGGTTGTCTTGTTATAATATTATGTGAAAGAGATATACTTTTAGGTTTTGAAATTGAAGAAGGGTGGATGTCATATTGCATTCTTCTAATAATCTGAGACATCAAAACCGATCTTTCTTTGAAATTATCAATCTGTGCTAACTCCATCTCAGTAGGAGGTGTTAGAAATTGTTGTACCATATTAATTGGTTTTAAGAAAGCATCCTGATGTACTACATTAATATAAGAGCATAACCATGCAGAGGCACACACAGCTAATGATGCCATTTTTTGCCTCAATGAATCTAGCATTCTCTTCACATCTGCAGCAGAAAGTGAACCTTGTTCCCATGCAAATAAAACTTCTTTAACAACACCACTTACATTTTCACAGAGATCATGGGGTTTCATATTTGTGTTTTTAAAATCAAACTCAGTAGCACTGAGATGATGAATAAAAATGTCTACAAGTTGAATATCACATCTTTGTAGTATCTGATCTGGTGATTTATGAACTCCTTTATATACCATGCAATCTCTTACCCATTGCTCAAAAAATGAATCTCCATTTTCTTCAAGAACTGTCTCGGCACCATACTCTTGTACAATAGAGCAAAGAATCAAAAATGATATGTCAAAAATGTATACTTTTGACTGGGACGCCCCTTTTTCACTAGCGGCATGCAATGCAAATTCATTTAACTTTATAAGTCTTGAAGCAATTAACTTTAATTTTCCTTCTAAAGTGGCGACAGCTAAAATTTTTTCTAGTGTACCTCCACCCACAATTTGGCATAACAAAGCATACAGTGACTCATGTATTTTATGGAAATCTCCACCTAAAGTTTTCAAAATTCCAGCTAAAGTTGGTTCTGCTTTAGTAATAAATGATGGTACTGATCCCTGAAGACCTGTGGGCTCCAATTTTTGCAATTTTACATCCTTATTTTCTCGTTTTTTACTGAAATATTGCAAATGACTCTCTGTCATGACATTTGCTTTTACTAGTGGTTCCACAAGGGATACTATGCTATTACAAGAATTTTTTGTATCAACAATATCCAACAAAGGATTAGACTGTAACAGATTTTCAAAAGCTTCCACAAGTTCCACAGAATATTCCCCTTCTTTACTGGTTGTTCCACACAAATTGTGTATATAATGCATAACTTGAGGTATTTTAAGAAAAGTGAAAGCTGCCCAAAATGCTTGCTTAGAAGCATCTTTGCTAGAGTCATTGAGTGAAATAAAACAAGCTCTAATCAACTCACAATATAATCTAGAAAGACTATAACCCTTTATTCTCTTTACCATCAATAACTGACTTGAAATTTGATGCAAGTCAGCACTTGGATTAGATAATATATCAATTGCTATCAAAGCTTGTAAACAATGAGTAACTGATTCAGTTTTATTATTCAGTGGTGCTATTTTGTCAATATCCATATTACAAATTTTCTGTAGGGTTTCATGTATAGTCACTGGAGCTTTAAACTGGGTATTCATCATGATAAAAGTAGTAATTTCTTGACATTTTTTAGTTACCTTATTGTATTCTTCAGGATCATTCTGTTTCGCAAGATAAAACATTGCCACTAAAAAATCTGTATTGACAATGGAATTTAAGACTGATGTTGATTTTTCAAGTAATTCTTGACTTTGTACCGAGTTTGACGATGGATACTTGCTCAAAGAATAATGGTATACTTGTAAAAGCCATAATATTATTGAAGATACAGCATATGCAAGTACTTCTTCTTCCATTTTAGCTCTACATGTTATGCTATCAAGGAAACCTTCTAAAAATTCGAGTAGGCTTATAATGCAGTGAGGTTTGTGAAAAGCATCAAACTTTGATATTCTTTGTAATACAGCAGCATAAGATACAAGATGTGATGCCAGCGAGTGTTTTAGGTATGATATTACTAATTGATTGGCACCACATCCCACCATAGCTTGTTGAAGTATACAATCTGCTAGGTTATACAGATCACCACTAACTCCTCTTGGCAGAATTGTCTTGATATTGATACCCCATTGGATATCAGTCCATCGTTCACGCCAAGCTCTAAGGATGAGCGCCTTGAGAGAACTGGTTTTACTTGTATTCTTCGATGGATCCATGTTCACCATCTTTGATATTTCTACAACTTTTATTCAATACATTTTTTAGAAATTGTAAAAAGTATTGAACCACTTACGTTCTTAGAACATCAAAGATTGAATATCTATATTTCTCGATGTAATAACAAATACATTTCGACGAAATATATTTTCTCTTTGCTGAGAATACATTAAAAACAAGTTCAAAGATTATACAAAATTTTCATAAGCACAAATCACAAAAACCATAACACGAATTAATAAACTGACATGGCACAATTGTTTTCGTTTACAGAACTACGCGTAATTTTTAGTACAAGTAATTTCTTAAAGTAGCTGTATTTATTATAATTATATATTTTTATGTAATGTATAACCATATTTGCATTATATATATTTAGATGACATCGTTAGCTGACTTGTGTTTCATTGGATATATTTATTAAAACTTGAAATCCATTACGTATATATATTTGAAATAGAAAACATAATAGAAATATGAAAGATTCGTTTCATTATCCGTAAATGTTTCTATGGTTCAAATAAAAAAATATTTTTAATTTGTATTTTTACAAAAAAATATACTCTATTTAATTACAAAATTGTACTTTATTATTTATTTTTACTGAATATAAAAGTTTTGTTTTTATAACACCTACAAAATAACTATCAAGAGACTAAACTAAACGAAGTTAAATGTCACTAATGTCAAACGACGCATGGTTTGTTTTGTTTACAAACTATTTTTAAAAGTGTTTTACTCAGAAAATCAAAATGAGTTTTAGAAATTATAAAGATAAAATTGACGAAGGTGATACAGTAATCTTGTATCTTAGCAATAATTTATACGCTATTGATGTACGACCTGAAATCAAGAGTAAAAAAGGTGATTTGGTGGAAAATGTATTTCAAACACCTTTTGGTGCATTGAAGGTTAGAAATCTAATTGGAACAGAGTACGGGAGTAAAGTAAGTATATTTTTGAAATTCTGACATAATTATATTAATTTCATGTTTTGATACAAAAAAATCTGAAATCTAATAATACCATTTAGTAAGGATATAAGGTCCCTGACTCTTGTTTCTTCTGGACCTTGTTAACCGTATTTTTCATCCATATTCACTAAGGCAAAATGTAGCTATTAAATTAATAGAAAAACTGCATTGGGTTGGCTGGAAGAGATCTCTATTGGAGATAAGTCCACCCTTGTTGACAAGTTGTTAAACTAATCACTAGATCTTTTATTCAAGTGCAATAAAGAATGTATATATGAACACAACTATAGTAAATAAAAAAAATAAGTATAATATTTTTATACAGGTGGAACTATCGAAAGGATGGGGGCATGTACTGCAACCTACGCCTGAACTCTGGTCATTGACTCTGCCACATAGAACACAAATTATCTACACACCAGACATCAGTATGATACTACTGCAGTTAGATTTAGTGCCCGGATCTGTTGTTATTGAAGCTGGTATGCTACACTTAACTTTTTTTAAATACACTTTTATCTATATTATTTTATTATATTTACTTTATAGCACCAATATGTAGTGGATTGATAAGTTTAATATACATATAATGAATTACAATACAATAATATACAATATGAATTAGCTATGTACTATATGCCTTAAAGCAATCTTATTACTAAGTAGCCTCTACTTTGTCCTTTTTGTCTTTTCTCTGTATGGTAATGAAGTAAGAATACCATGTGTCAATACTCCTTTACCTCTACTGGATATCATAAGATGTGTTATCATTTAAACTTTCTTGTTATGTGTTTTATGGTTTATAAGAGAGAGGAATTAAAATCTGAGTAATAAATACTGTTTTATAAATAGGATTTTTTTTTAACAGGAACTGGTAGTGGTTCTTTGACACATGCTCTCATACGCAGAGTTAGACCACATGGTCATGTCTTCACATTTGACTTCCATGAGCACAGAGCAAATGTAGCGAGGAAAGAATTTGAGGAGCATGGCCTCTCCGATTTTGTGACTGTGAGTAATACAACACATTATTATAATATTTTTATTAAATGCTAGAGTATTTAGGCCTTAACCTATAACTCATATTTAAGTGAAAAAATTAATCTATTTTTTTTATACAACTAGTGTGGCAAACAATTATACAGCCTGTGTGATGGTAAACAGGGTTACTATAGTCAATGGATGCCTGTAACACCAAGGATGTCATGTGCGTAATTCCATCCTTTTAAAAACCTTAATATGCCCTTTTTGAAGAACCTCATGCTGCAGTCTTTAGGGAAAGCCTAATGTGTATGTAGTAGTCTTGCATGCAAATTTAAATTGTTGCTAGTTAACATGTTTAAGTACACTCTGGTGGATCACATCACTTGAGACCTGAAAACATAGTTGCTTTATAATTACCAAAACTTTAATATTAAGATCACACTTAAGTAACAAATTGAATTAGGATACATCCTAAGTGTGATAAGTTTTTTATTTAAGATCACATTATGATATAATGTTATATAAAAGACCGAGAAATTTAGACTTTTAGGTTTCTTCAGGGTCGGTAACGCGCGCATAATACCCCTGGTATTGCAGGTGAACATAGGCTACAGTAACCACTTAACAGGTGGGCCGTTTGCTTGTTTGCCACATCAGTGGTATAAAAAAATTAAATTTTTATTATATATGAGAAACCTTTCATTGCTGATTACAAAAATAAAGAAAGTAGTTCTCCACTTAAATGCCGTTATAAAAAAAAAATTTAACCAGTTTGCTCTTATAGTACAACTTGCCTATTACACACAGATACAGCGGGTCTACCATGAAATGAAATTCCGAAATTTCGGACTCTATTTCGTGTTTTTGTTTATACCAAAATCAAACCAATAAATGGAGACTAACATTTCGTTCGTCATACATCCAATCATAAAAGTGCAAAGGAACAATATTTTAACATTTTTAATATTTCCAAACGGCATGTATTATGTAATTTTAACATCAAATTTCTGTTTCGTTTTCGTTTGAAACATTTCATGGTAGGCCCGTTGAACACAGGTTGATTTTAAAAGCGATTCAAAAATGCAATGCTGAAACAATTAAATAAATTTATCATTATCACCGTAGGCGCAACACAGAGATGTACTTGAAGAAGGATTTGGAGAAAATCTTAAAGGAAAAGCTGATGCGGTATTTCTTGACCTGCCTAGCCCTTGGATTGGCGTCCCTCACGTGCTCGATGCTCTGAAAGCTAAAGGTAAATTGCCATTGCTTTTTCATTTTTTTATTTATAATATATTATTATAGGGGGAAAAGGGATTGTTAGTAATGGAGACTAAAACTCCCGTTGGTAGCAATATACCTACCTAACCAGGTCAACCTCCACGCGGTTCCCCCCGGAAACTATAGTAGTTAATTCCTGATGAATTCATCATGATGGGCTAACTGGCCTGTTTTCATTCTCATCGATCACCCTTCACTGGTGGTCCGCCAGCGTATCCCGTTAGCGTAGGCGGAGTTACCTATCCATTTTCATCCAACAAAAAAAAAATATAGGTATCTAAATACACATTTGGAGGGAATTGCTAGTGGTCCCATTGCTAGCATTGTATTCTTTCAGGTCGACCTCCACGCGGTTTCCCTTGATAACAGTCACGATTCGCTAACAGTCTTGACTTCAACCACAGTTACCTCGACAAAGTATCTATACCGATAGCGCGGGTGGAGTTACTATTTTATTTTCATTCCAAAATAATAAATATATACCCTGTATTATCATTGTTGACTATTAGTCCCACCGCTTGGCAAAGAATCACACTTTTTGTTTCGCTTATTTCTGTTTTGTCGATGTTTTGAGTTATTTATCGACTGTATATATTGTAACGTCATAGTTTCGTTTTCCATTAGCTAGGTGGATCCGATTATGTAGTTATTGCAAATTGCCAACGCTATATAAAAGAATATTATAATTAATTATAATAAAAAATAATAAACTTTACTAGCACAATTTATAAGCGGCAGCGGATTATTAATGAGTATTGGTATAGTATAGCGTATCACGAGACAAGTCGCTACACTTCTCCTCTCCGAGCTCGTAACTAAAGTAATAGCTTAGTTTATAGTTTACAAACAAACATACGCTAGACACTAAACACTGCAACTAATTCCCTACGTCACACGCTTGTTCTACAAGAAACATGCCATTTATAAATGCTCACTAGCGTTAGATAAGCGATCGTTGGTCTACAAAGCAGGAAACACAGCAGATCGTTATAAATCGAGAAAACCGATTGCGATCTAGGTGTCGATTATTCAGATCCCCTTGTAAGTTATACGATTCTATTCATTAATCTACAATCGTACTACATAACGAACTCAAAATCGATTCATCGATTCATTTGGAAAGTGGTTGAACTTCACTATTCTGCTCATGGTTGTCAAAATGTTCTTTGCATATTAAAAGTATATTTTAAAAAATATTGTTAAAACAAAATTTGTTAATAGTACCTAATTTAATATGTTCAGTCTTAAAACTTTATCATACAACTTAAAACTATATTGTTTTTATAACGATTGAAAATTACAATTAATTAATTTTGATTATTACCGTTGGATTGTCTTGTGAAAAACCCTGATCATTACTCTTATTTGTACATATATACATACATATATATCTGTCATGCCTGTTTCCAATTGGGCAAATAGCCAGAAACAATGGAACGCAAACCAAATGCTTCGATTCAAACAGACTTCTTTTATATATTAATAATTTTGTATTTTAATAATCTACTACTAGCATCAGTTAAATAATCTGTTATAATTATTATTATTTTAAACTTTAATAAAATTGTCTGTAGGCGACGATTATCACTTTACGTAAAATTCATTACAAAATACAATCGAATCTAATTGAGAGTTCTTTTTAAAAACTATTAAAAAAGTACATTTCAATTTTAATCTTTATAGACATAGGAAATAAGTACATCCTTCGGAAATAAATACTCAACTAAACTTACATGTTGGCAACCCTAGATTGATTTGCCTAATTGGTGTCCGCTCGTTATAACTAAGTGGCAGATACACATCTCATGTAATCGTGCCTGTTACTGCGACAATCACAACTGTTTGTTATCCTTGACGCCACTTAGTTGCCCTATTGTTGTCTACACGGCGTTCGGAATAAAAAATCGATTACGGGTAAATTTGGGGCAACATCACTAGTACCGAATGTAGATCACAATATGTAATTATGGATTTCGTAATTATTGCGTGAAGATTTTGTGGACGGAGAGTTGTCATCACAACGTTGCAGTTTTCGCTATACCGTCAACTGGTTTGGTATCGCTTGATTGCTCTTTGACGATCCTAAAATCGAAACCTAGCCTAAAATTTTGAATCCTAAAATCACTCGTTTGAAGAATTTTACATTTCGTGCTTCGATGGATACGTAAAGTATACAACCGGTAGAACGTAAAAACGTCTTCGTATATAACAATTTAGATTGAAAATATTGAATTCTGAACGCGGGACCCCATCCCTCAACCCTTAAGTTCCCTTAATCCCTCTTACATCACCCATGGGAAAGGAAGAGGTGGCCCATTCTATGCCGGGACCATATGGCGAAAATTTGGTATACACGTAATAATGGGATGAAAACGAACATAGCCTTTCTTGTTATCCCTGTAACTAAACATATGGTAATAAGCTGGTCACATAGCTCGAAGAACCGACAACCGATGAGGAAGAAAAATTCTTGAGTTTCGACCTCGTACGGGCAAACGCACTGTAGGGCGACCCCCACTTAATGGAATGACGACCTCAGTTGCATTGCAGGAAGTCAGTGAACTCAGCAGTTGGCTCAGGAGCTCCTTATGGCGGTCTATGTGGGAGGCTTATATCCAGCAGTGGACAGATAATGGCTGAAATAATGATGATGATGAACTAAACACATCCTGGTCACGCAGACGAAGTCACGGGTAAAAGCTTTTTCCAACATAAATATGAACCAGGCACGTTGATGGTGATTAAACTACAAGTAACTATTAAACAAATTAGGTTCCGTTTCAAATGACCGAGGACGCTTATTCATTCAATATACAAACTACGTGATAATCCAAAATGCCACAACATTTAAAGGTAGACGGCTCCTTCCATTGAATTGTCAAATACATTATTATGTCCCAAGAACCGTACTTGAGAGCTAGTTAGTTCTTAATGATTGACATTAGTGATAAATTTATCGTGAAAAACAATCACTTTTGAAAATATTTATTTAATGCCAACCCTGCATTACAGAATTAAAATATGCTAAGTCGATTTTAATAACATCTTTATAAATTTTTACATTTATTTATTATATTTAGTAGTAGGATTATAACTACATTAGTATTTATTACATATTAGCATTTTTCTAGTATTGATAGATAGATATAACTAACTTTTGCCCGCAACTTCTTAGGCGTAAGTAACAAAATGAAACATATACAAAATTTTAAGTTATACATTCAGGAACACAATTGTGAACAAATTTTTAATATAGTAGAACTTCGATTATCGGAATAAAAAAAAATTGCTATTCCGTATAACCGAAAATCCGGATAATCGATTTCAAAGTCAAATCGAATAATAGTTACATTTTAATATTTATTTATTACATTTTGTTTTTATATTTTGGGCTTTACATTTGTATTTAGATAATATGATATAAAAAAAAAATTACGAGCTATAAAGATAATAGATATATATTACATAATGCCTATGTTATTTAAAATTTTGGTTGGATATAAATAGTTTTTAATCTTTGACGTAATGAATCGCATTTTTTCATTGCGGCCAAGCTCCTGTTATGCTTCAATTCTAACAACTGTATGTAATTGTAACAACTGATAATCGAATATTCGGATAATCGACATTCTACTGCTGTAGTTTTTGTACCATTCCGGAACAAACTACAGAGACTGACAAAAGTTTAAACAATAATAATTTTACTTCTATAGTTTATATAGGACCACACATATATAATTATTTCTTAAATATCTTCTATGTACAGACATGATCTAGCTGCAATTTTATTATATTAGTAATACAGCTTTATTGAAACAATTTGTTTTATATGATGTCTATAATGATAGCTTTACATTGCGCATTTAAATATATGCAGGCAAATAATCGTATCATGCGGTTGCCTCAATCTCTTGCGTAAAGTATTATAATATATTATGTATTATGAAGACCTAATAATATTACATGGTTAGTGTTGCAATTGCAGAGTGTAATAATTGTATACTGTGCCAATATACTAAGCAAATATATAAAAGATGATATCGAATCTTTAGTATCTTTTTAAGGAAGTGTTCTATCAATGAATCCAAACATTGTGTTTAATTCCCATAAAACAGTATGTACCGTTTTTTTTTTCCAACATTGTTATTTCAGAAATAAATTTTATTTTTCTAATTATGCTTATTAAACATATAATCGTAATACTAACTTCTAGTCTATTGATTATTTTGTTTTATTCTACTTAAAATAAATTAGAATGATTTTGTTTAATTCCGCTTAAATTAAATCAAAATTACCTTCTTTAATTTAAGCGGAATTAAACAAAATAATTGTTCCACAAAAAAACCGACTTAAATTGTAGCAAAACCGGTTATTTTAAGGGTCAAATCTTAAAGTATATTTTTTTCAGGTAAAAAAAAATCCAAATCGGTTTACAACTATCGGAGTTGTGAGATAATAAACTTAAAAAAAATACAATCAAATTGAGAACCTCCTTCTTTTTTAAGAGGGTTCAAGTCTCCGCTTTGTATATATTTTCTTCTCTTGCGGTATCATGACAATAATAATGGTCATGCGATATAGAACCATAATATGACAAGTTATAAAATACACAATTTATTTTTAAATTTAAACAAGTATTTCATTAATCGCATCCCTCGAACCTCGATGCACTGTTAAAAAAATTAAAAATGGAATACTCTACTTAATTTTTTTTTATAACGTATGACTGAACACATTCTTAACTGCCAGTGTTGCTGTCAGATTTTTTCAATCTATATTAATACGATAGAGATGTATAGATAAGAAAAACCTGTTTGATATTAAACGAGGCTTTTTTTTTCTTTTTCTCAACTACATATAGGCGTAACTAACGTCCACTATGGATTCGAATCCTGCTTCTATGCCTTTATTTATTACATGTCGGCCGTTGTCCAAATATGTCTTTAATAAATGGTCACCGCCTCTATGATGGGC